GTACCCAATATAAAAACATACTCGAATTGCTTCTTCTATCATCTTGATCTCCAAGCATAATCATTGTCTATGAAGCCAAATAAAATTTGATTTTTCTTTCTTCTTGTAAAACAACCCATAATCAACAATACTTTGCAGTATCTAAGAATTCTTTTTGCAGCGAGAAGATGCATCTCCCATGGGCTTTCCATGTACCTACTAATGAGACTCACAAGCATGCATTATATCGGGACGTGTTGCGATCAAATACATCGGGTTTCCCACGATTTACTTGTAAAGAGTTTTGTCCACCTTTCTTCCTTCGAGTTCTTTCAAAAGCATCAAACCAAGCTCGTTGATGTACTCACGTAATTGCGTTCTTCATCCGAACCATGTCTAAAATTTCTTGAACATATTTCTTTTGAGAAATAGCTGCAGTATCGCGCCACTTCAATGCCCGAGTAAGAATGCATCATTCCAAGATCGGACATATCAAATTCAACCATCATGTACTTCTTAAATTTATCAAACGTGGCACTATCATTTCCAATGTAAATCGGATCATCTACATATAGGCACACAATTAGCATCTTTCCTCCATCACCAATTTTAAGAAAAAGTGTATGCTCATATGGACATTTTTTAAAACATTCTCTCCGTAATAACCCAAAATTTACCTTTTTTATTTATTTTTATTTTTATTTTTATTTTTATTTTTATTTTTATTATTTAATTTGAAGTTTACTAAAAAAAGAAAAAGAAAAGGAAAAGGAAAATGATGAAAAACACAAAACTTTCCATTTAGGGATATAATTAAAGTAATTAGGGTATAATTGAACCAATTGAAGAATTTAGAATCTAAATTGCTTTTTACGAGGATCCAATTGATAAGATTGCACCTCATAAAGACCGAAATTATTCCACAGAGGGGCGTAATTGCTAAAATCAAAACGCGAAGACCAAACCGAAAGTTTGGAGCGAACGATAAGATCGAAATGGAGAAGACGACCTCGTTGTTCGCTCCAATGCAAATTCTCTCCGAAAATCTTTGAGAGAATCCGCCCAAATCCTCCATGAATTTCTTGTTTTTGATTGTGCATTAATCATGGATTTGTTGCCAAAATCAACACTAACGGAAGTAATGACCAAATTTATCGTTTTGATTTTACATTAATCATGAATTAAAGAGGAAAATTTTGATAAAAGAATTCGAGATTTGAGATTCGATTCGAAGAGAAATTTTAGAAATTTTTTTGCTATAAAACATTTTGAATTTCACGGAAAAAAGGAGGAGAAATTGGGGAAGAATTTTAGGTTGAGAGGGATAGAAAATTAAGAGCAAAAGGCTTGATTTTTTTTTTATTTCCAATCATCGCATTTTTCCGGGTTCCCGGGTTTGAGTGTTCTTCGTGTTCTTCATCTCGGGTTTGCAAATTTTATCTTGTTATTCATTCTTTGATTTTTCCGGGTTTGGGTGAATTACCACACGTTTCTTTAACTTAATTTCCGGGTTTGAAGCTTCAATCACCGTTCTTTTTGGGTTTTTTTTAACCAATTTTTCTAGGCAGCTTTTGAGCATTTGCTCTTTTCGGGTTTCGATTTTTAGAGTTCTTCGTGCATTTAAACTCCAATTATTCATTCCGCCATCTCGCCCGAGCATCTTAAGTTCGTCGAATACCCCTTGGTACCTCCAAAAACACCTCGGACTTCCATTACCCTCGCTTGGTAGACAATCCTTTGCAAAGGTAAATTTGGTCGATCCGTATTTTTTTTTCTCTCAACTCGATCTTGTTTAACTTTTGTTACAACCGATTATCAATTACACGTTTAGACTACAAATTTGGTTTTCTAAGGAGCTAAGAGCAGGAACATGGTATGTTGAATGAGGCTTCCAATTTCCCGATGAAAACCGAAAAAATAGAGAGAGAATAAGAAGATTGGGAGATCTAGAGAGAGAGGAAGTCGGGATGGTGTTTGATCAAAATTTTGATTTTGTTTTAACCTCGGGCCTCGTTTATGGGTTCGAGCCCATTCGAGGCCGAGAAAGAAAGGGACCGGACCGATTTCAACCCAGTCCGGCCCGAGTATAGGGAAAAAAAAATAGAAATAGAGGTCGGGCTGATATGTGCCCCCTTACCCCAAATAAAAAACGGCCGGATCGGAATTCAGCCTACCGTGTCCCTCCCTAAAAAAAAAAAAAAAGGCAATAAAAAATGGAAAATAGAATTAGGAAAAAAATAAATAAAAAGAAAAATAGGAAAAAGGAAAAAGGGGGATGGGTAAAATAAATAAATTGTGGTTTAATGTTTTAAGCATAGAATGATTTTTTTTCTTTATTTTTGTTTTTCTCTTTTATTATTATTATTATTATTATATTATTAGCTCGTTTATTTTTATTCCTTGTCATTTTTTTTAGAATTTTTATTTTAATTTTTTAATTTTTTTTCTTTAATATGTATTGCTAGAAAAATTATAAGAAATCTTGATGAAGTCTCATATCCGATAGGGACCGACGTCATAAAAAATGCCTAAAAATTTTGGTGAAGTCTCCTACTTGGTAGGGACTAATGCCACCAATAATAATAATAATAATAATAATAATAAATAAATAAATTGACAAAGTCTCCGATCTAATAGGGATCGACGTCACTAAAAAGAATATTCAAGGTTTTCGACGAAGTCTCATACTTGATAGGGATTGACATCATCAAAAATCACCTTTTAATTAAGACGTCCTCCGAAACGCTAGTTGTGTTAAGACTTTTAGTGGATCCGATGTTTGAATCGACGTGTAACCCGACGAAGGGGACCGACGATCGTTTCAATATGATGCCACGCCCAAAACTAAAAAATTCACTTAGTCTAAAAAAAAATAGGAGTTTAAAAATTAGAAAATAGCTTGACATGGATTTTTAGGAGATGAATTTAGAACTAAACCATACATGGTACCTTTTTTCGAAAAGGGCACTTTTAGGTGATTAAATATCTTCCTAAAAGTGTAACCAACTCCTTACCTTAGGAATCTCTCGAATCGGTGCTACTTTTAGGTTTCTAGTTCCTTAAATACTAGGTGACGACTCCAAAACTCGTAAATAATTTTATAAATAATTAACGCGCGTACCTTAATTTCGTGGAGGGGTCCCGCCCGACGTCGTGTAGCGACACCCTCAAAAAATAAGCATCAACACGACTATACCAAGCACGTGGAACATGACTATACCAAGCACGTGGAACTTTGTTTAGCCCATATAATGCCTTTTGTACTTTATACACCTTATTTTCACTCGCTAAGCTTTAAATAACTAAGAGGCAAATTGATAAATACTTGTTCTTGCGAGTCACCATGCAAGAATGCCGATTCTATATCTAACCGGAAGATGGGCCATGAGTTTTGAGTTGTTAATGCAATCACTAATCTAATTGTGTCATGTCTTGCAACTAGGGCAAAGACTTTTTTGTAATCAATGCTAAACTCTTGCTTATAGACTTTGGCGACTAGGCGTGCTTTGAATTTATCAACTTCACCATTCTCTTTCAACTTTGTCTTATAAACCCATTTCACACCAATGATCTTCTATCCTTTTGAAAGTTAAGATAACTCCTAAGTATTATTTTTTTCAATGGATGCAATTTTATTATCTATTGCCTTCCTCCATTTTGAATCTTTGACAACTTATTCAAAGGTTACAGTGGTCACAATCTAAAAAAAAAAAAAAAGACAAAATGTTTAAGTGGGTCCTTAGATTGGTCAATCCTTGTTACCTCATAATCAATCATCCAAGCAAGTCTCCTTATAGGTCGTTGTGACCTTTATTGTGTTGTGGCGATAGGTGAGTTTGGAGTCGCTTCGACTTATCTTGAATAACTACTAGCCATTGTAGATGGTCTAAAAGTTGTTGCTCTTCTTCAACATTTTCTCCATCAAAATCTATAAGAATGTGTTGTTTATCACCATCTTCATTCCACTCGTTAGAAGCATTTTTCATTAAAGACCATGTCTCGGCTAATGACAATCCTTTTAGTGCTTGGATTATATAGCTTGTAAGCTTTAGAATGGTCACTAACATCAAGAAAGATACTTTTTTCTCCTTGTTATCTAAATTTCTTCTTTTCTCATCGGGTATGTGGGAATAGGCAATGCATGAAAAAAAAATTCTAAAATGGCCTACATTTGGTCTTCTCCCATTCCATACTTCTTCTAGTGTCATATTCCGAACTATCGTAGTTGGGCTTCGTTCGGAATGTGAACACTCCAATTGATAGCCTTCGATCGAAATTCTTTGGAACTTTGCTCCTCACAAACATTCTTCTCACCATGTTTAAAATTGTACAATTTTTCCTTTCGCACATGCCATTTTGTTGTGGGGTGTAGGTTGCTATCAATTGTCGTTTGATGCCATGTAACTCGTAAAAATTTGCAAATTCATATGAGTTATACTCCTCTCCACGATCCGTACATAGCACTTGTATTGGGTATCCCGCTTATTTCTTAGATGTTACTTTATAACTTTTGAAAGCCATTAGAGCTTCGGACTTCTTCGTAAAAAGTAAACCCATGATGGCATGGTTTGATGTTGAGGATGATGCCATGAGGAGCCAAGTTTGCCAAAGTGTATACTATATGTATAGGTTTACCGTTTAAAGGCTAAAGATTACCTATATTTCATGTATTTGGTCACTTTTGTGTTTCCTATGTTTAATCATTTTAGTTTGTAAACTTATGTTACTTTTGGATAACTTTAGTTTGTTAATATATATATGAGTTTGAAGGTTTATAAAATGGTTTATGTTTTGAGAAACTTATGGTTTTATGGTTAATGAAAATTGTTGGTTCTTAATAAGTTTAAATTGAGATTTGCCTTAAACTTTAAAGCAAAAGATTTTTGTTGTGCATTATATTTTATACACGAGGTAGAAGACATTGGCTTTGTCTTATATCCTATAGGTGTGAGACATTGCCGGTAAGACTCTTAGCCTCCTTTAGATCGAGGGTGTTACATCACTAGGCTTTAATCAATTTGTTAGGTTGCCAAGCTCCAATCAAACTTTGGGTGTAACAACCCCAAGTAAGCTTTTTCTCCAGGCTCTCCTTCCAACAAGTTGAGGCATTCTATAAAACCCTTCTTTGTTTTCTCCGGCTCTTCTCCTTTTGTTGTCCATAACTTATTATGACCATGATCAAATACCCGAAGATTCATTTGGCCACAATGTAAAGTGATTTGATAAATATATGCCTTAAATGAAGATAAAATTTAATATAAAAACAAGTAAATAAACATCTCAGTCCCTTTTTTTTTATTGATAATAAGGAATTTTTAGTCCAAGATTCTAAAAGTTGAATATTGGAAAATGCAATCATCTGACCACAACATTGACGTGAAGCTTGATAAATACAAACCCTAAATGAAGATAAAATTTAATATAAAAACAAGTAAATAAACATCTCAATCCTTTTTTCATTCATACCAATCACCTATTAGTTCGAGTTCAAAAGTATGATCAATGCTTTAATTTGCAAAATAAATATTTGAAATTGAGGTTGGTGTGCATACGTAAGGTGATTAACAACTTCTTTTGAACAGGTAATGATGATTAGCAATTACATCAGAAGTAACAAGTCAATCTAAGATTTTTTTTTAAAAAAAAAGGAAGAAGAAGAAGCTTGGCGGTAAATAATTATTTTAGAGCTATAGATTAAAATAGTTTGACTAATTGGTTTATTGTACCAGATAAGGGAAAAAAGAAAGCCTATGTTTTTTATTCTGCTTGAACCATTTTAAGACAGCATGAAAATGGAATTTCGCAGGTTGCAATCCTAATCCCTGGCCTTTTTCTCTTCGCAATTCATGTTTGTTTACAAACTTTATCATAACCTCCATTGAACTTTTTACTCTTGATTTTTTGTGAAGGAAAAATAAAAAGATAAAATAAAATTAACGGTTGTTTACAAAGTTTTCTGTTATATACTCATCCATTGAATTTTATATTCCTTTTTTTATAAAGGTTTTTGGATTTCTTATAACTTAGTCCTTATAGTTTATCAAAACTAATTAAATAGTCCATTGACTAGTACTAACTATCCTCAATTTAATAGGTTTTTTGTTCTAATTAAAAGTTTTCATATTGAAGAAAGAACTAAATTATAAATGAATTTTAAAAATAGTAAGAATTAAATATATAGTTTTTCAAACCTTAAAGACTAATTAATTAGTTTTGTTAAAAAAATTGACTAAATTAAAACTAACTCATTTGGTTTATAATGAAATCGAGCTGAAATTAAAATTGTTAACGGAGATACACAAGACATAAGCAGCACTTGAGGCTAATCTGAAGTTGATGATATATAATGGATCATCTTTTTCATTTTTTTTTCTAACTCTTATATTTGAATTTTGAAAGAAGCAACTTCTCATTATTTTGTCTTGTTACTTTTCTATAAATATTCCATAATGTTTTCAACATTCCTTTATTTCAATTGAATTCAATTCAAATTACTTGAAAATGTCCAAGTGAATTTCCTGTTAATATCTTGACGGTTTGGTCTCCACTTTTCTTTTGTTAGGAAATCTTCCAAGAACTAGAGGTTTTTAATCATTGCTAAACCCCTTTTATGTTAGATTTTTGTTATAAAAAGAATGCTACATCGTAACAAAGGGGTGATTGTCTATTGTTATGATCGGGAAGAGCTAGCTAGGTTGTGTTTTTACTAGAAATTAAGGGAGTGTTTATGGCAAGTTTTCTCATCTTCCCTAGCAGATTGTTTATTCTTCTGGTAATGGAATATAGATGCTAAACTCAATTATTGCCAATTTTTTAAACAAATTGAAGTCATACTTGTACTAAATAATACTAATAGCGCTAGAAATGTGGGCAGTGTCTACGTTCCATGAAAGCAACATCTTTTGAACCTTTAAAAGATGAATAGAAATTAGATTATAAGTAACAAAGGGGTGAACAGAACAAGTAGAAACATTGAAGAAGACTAGATTTTTACCAATAAATTGTCTTTAAATGAAGTCTATGTACGTATTTGCTTCCGTCAGCCTAGTGTTCGATCCTTCAATTTTGTTTTTTATTCTTGAGATTTTTTGATGCAGTGTTCCTAATCTACAACTAATTAAAATTCTTAATTTAAAAATTTAGTGATTTGGATCTGATTCAGGTCCAGTTTAAAACTGTATTAGTTAAGAAATTGATCTTGTAAAAACCGAACTAAAATAATAATTTCATTTTAACATTGAGTAAAAAAAAATTTATAAGCTTATAAGTTGACGTTTGTTTACCAAATGACTCACCTTGTTATTAGACTTTTATATATAATTGAGGAATCAAATCTAACCTCGACATAGGAATGGTTTGAATTCTAAATCTCAATGTGTATTTATACGTAGAAAAAAAAAAAAGTTTTTGCATTTATGATTGTCACAAAAGGATGTTGGAAAGGGTGACGAGACTAGAAATTATTTTTGTTATGACCATTTAAAACCCTTCCTAATTATATTAAAATTCAATAAAAATCCTCAAAATTCTAAAGGAAAAAGATCAAACAATCGAAGATACAACAAGTTATTTGATTATATTTAGACTTCTTGATCGATTAATATTAGCAAAAGAAAATATTTGTTTGAGTTGAAAAACAATAAAATAAATAAACACCTCTTGTAAAGGGAGGATGATGAACAAGTTAAATGAAGAAAGGTTTTAGACATAAGTAAGAGATGTAAGATAAAATGTAAAGACAATTATATACATGATGAAGTATCATAGTAAAAATAGTATTTATTAGTCGATTACGTACTATGCTTTCAACGAATTGTATTTTTAGTTAAGAAAAATAGAAAATAATAAACCCAACAATAAATTGATTTGTTTTTAAGAAAATCAATTTCTTTTAAAAACGTCAGGTGCCAAAGCAAAATTTACATTAACAAAACATTATTTTTAAACTAAAAACAAATAAATACAGTTGCACTTTTTTTTATAAAAAAAAAATTACTTTAAAAGAACAACAATACCAAATAAGACAAATAAACAATGATTCGACATCTTTTATTATCATTATTGTTGTTGTTGTTGTTTATCTAGAGGGCCAATAGCCTAGTGGATTAATTAAACTATAAGATCAGTAGCCCACCATTCCTAATTCTCGGTTCATTTTTTTTAATGAAAAAATCAAATTTTAATTATTTAACATCGATCTAATTAATTAACATAAATTCATAAAAAATGATGAAGCAAGATTTCAATACAAACTTAGTCATTCCAATCCAAACTTCAAAAGACAAGGATACAGAACATTAAGCAAAGGCAAAACGAAGTGCCCCGTTATTTGCAAAAACAAAAACTCTGTCGACTTCAAACCGAAGAAAACTATATATATAGTAGCATTCCTATATATATGTGGATACGCATTTCCATTAATCAATCCCAAGCAACTTCCTCAGCTGCAAAACAAAGTCGTAGATCTTTTCTTTGTCACGAAGAGACTTAGCTACACTCTCTTTTTGCATACATCTCTTAGCCCATGCAATGATCTTGGGACACTCAGCCTCTATATTGAAGTTTCCTAAGGTCTCGTAGGCATTAAACCAGGAATAACAAGGCACAAATGCAACATCAAGGTACCCAAAGGTCTCACCCCCAAAGTAAGTTTTTTCTCCAAGCTCTCCTTCCAACAACTTGAGGCATTCTATAAAACCCTTCTTTGCTGTCTCCAACTCTTCTCCTTTTGTTGTCCATATCTTATGGGCATGATCAGATACCTGAAGATTCATTGCACCACAATGTAAAGTGACTTAGTCTCTATATACCACCAATTGCCAATCAGTAATTTATCATTGGGAATTAGAATTCTAAGAATGAGGGATCCCAGTAAAAAATAGTATTAATGTACATTTTAAAAATAAAATAAGCTAATGATAATTATAGAATAATAAGTATTTGTTTTTCAGGAAATAAAATGTATATTTTAGAAGAAATAATCTTAAAAAACAAGGTTCGGTTTTTCCATATTTGAAATTTAAACTCTTAATTTTTTTTTATTTTTTTATTTAGACCTTCTACTCTATTTTAATTTGATTGGGATATTTTATTTTTTTGAAAATTTTTTTTCAGACCTTCTGTTTTAATGTTATCAATTATTGATGGATACGTGATATTGTAAATTAAACACTCTTGAAAAATAGAAGTGTTGTGTTGATCACAGATTGATGATATTATAACGGAATGTCCGAGGCAAGAAATCTAGAAGAATAAAGAGTCTTAATAAATAAATAAAAATTGAAGGTTTCAATCAAATAAAAAAAATAGTCTCAATTAAATAAATTCGAAAAATACAGAGAATTCAAATGTGAAAAAAAAAAAAAAAACTGTTTCAAAAGGATCAGATCTTTAAAGACTTAAATAGGTTTTTTTTTTTTTTTTTTTTTCAAAGTTTGTAGATGGATTCTACAGCAATCTGATGTAGAATTTTGAAATCAAATTTAATGAACCCAATATATTCATACCTTCTTATCAATAAAATCAGCCCAGAACTTGGATTGGGCTCTCTGGTAAGGATCAGAGGGTAGTAAAGAAGACTTGTCCTTCCACACATCATCAATATACTGCACAATAACGAGGGACTCACAGATGGGTTTTCCATTGTGAATGAGAACTGGAACCTTCTTGTAAATGGGATTCATTTGCAGAAGCAGAGCACTCTTGTTCCCCAAGTCTTGCTCACTGCTCTCAAACTTAACTCCTTTCTCTTCCAATGCTATTTTCACTCTCATGGCAAAAGGGCTTGCCCAGGCATCCAACAGTGTCACCTCATTAGCCATTCTTGATTTTTATGATTGTGGAATTGGTTGTGTTTATGACAGTACTAGAGATTAAGAGGGTATTTATATAGTAAATTTTCTCATTTTATTCCTTATCAGATTGTTTATTCTAGTGATCTTGGAATGGGTGCTGAAGTCAATTATGGCCAATTTTTTAAACTTCTTTCAACCCTTAATTAGTCCATGATTTCTGAAAGTTGAATATTGGGAAATACAATCAGCCAGCCGGCCACAACATTGATCTTGATAAATATATGCCCTAAATGAAGATAAAATTTAATTTTAAAAACAAGTACATAAACATCTCAGTCCTTTTTTTATTCAATGTCAATCACGTATTAGTTAAAGTTCAGAAGTATGATCAAATACATTTGCAGATTAAATATTAGAAATTGGGGTTAGTATGCATACGTTGGGTGATTAACAACTTCTTTTGAACAGGTAAAGATGATTAGCAATTAGATCAGAAGTAACAAGTCAATGTAAGCGGAAAAAAAACCGTCCGTTAAATTATTATTTTAGAGCTATAGATTAATGTAGTTTGACCAATTGGTTTATTTGAAAACGATGGCCTGTGTTTTTTATTCTGCTTAATCCTTGACCATTTTATCTTTGCAATTCATGGTTTGTTTACAAACTTTATTATAACGTCCATTGAACTTTTATTCCTTCTTTTATAAGGATTTGCGTTACTTATAACTTAATCCTTAATTAAGTTTATCAAAGCTAATTAATTAATTTCTCTCGTATCAGAATTAATAAAATAGTCTACTGACTAGCAATGACCATCCTCAATATCCTCAATTTAGCAGTTTTTTGTTCCAATTGAAAGTTTTTATATCGAAGAAAGAACTAAATTATAAATGAATTTTGAAAATATTATGATTTAAATGTATAGTTTTAAAAACCTTAAATACTAATTAATTAGTTTTGTTTTCGTTTTATAATGATTGTCAAAGCATCATTATTGTATTTCGTCATGTAGTATATGTTTTATAATGATTGTCAAGCATCAAAATAGTATTTCATCATGTAGTATGTGTTTGCGTTGTAAATGGTTTTATGTGTTTCGGAGCATATATATGTTGGTTTCGTATCTAGCCTCGTCTTATAATGCTTCTCTATCCTAAACTGTGCATTAATATATTCCTAATTTCCACGGTACATATATTTTGAATAAAAATCCTAAATCTTAATAATTTGATATTAAACTTAATTAACAAAATTCATAAAAATGACAGAATAAGTCAACCGATATACAAGTAGGAATTCAATGACATTCAAATTGAAGCTTCAAAAGACAAGGATATAGGACATGAAGGCTACAGGCAAAACGAAGTGCCCCTTTCACAGTAAGTCCTTCCACAGCTTCAAAAGACTTGGCTATGCTCTCTTTCTGCATGAATAACTTACCCCATGCAATGATTTTAGGACACTCAACCTCTATGCTGAATTTTCCAAGGGTCCCAATGACGCCGGATTGAGATGATACTTTAACTCTACAGAAGTTAAAAATATAGATATACAAAAAAACTTCAGTGACCGAATCGAACAAACAAAATAAATCAGCCACTAAACAATTACAAACAATGAATAAACACAGCTCAAGCAATTAAACAACTCAAATAATCCAAGAAAGCTAGATTTGAATATTAAGCTTGACAAATGCTGAAATTACCTCTCCTATTTTTGTATTTTTTTTAAAAAAAATTAAATATAATCTAAATGGATAAAAAAGAAGTGAATTATAAAATTTCAGTCCAAACAGACAATCCTAATCAACCAAAGTACCAGCCAACCAGGGTGGATTTGAATTAAATATCAATAAATTCACAATTAAATTTGTCCAATTAACCCCCCTTGATGTAGAGTACACCACCCCAAAGATTACCAGAACTTACGAGATGTTAAGTTAATTGTCTGTGGATACAAATATTACCACCACAAAAAATTTGATCCCGGTTGATCTAAACTCCCCTTAATCTATTAGAATTCACGAAACCCTAATTTGTCCAAGCAAAGGAAAAGAAAAAATAAAAAGAGAGAGAAAATCTCCAATTTATTTATCAAACATTTGGCAAAACCTCTTACAAAGAAACAAAAAATTTGCTTAAATATTAGCATAAAAACTCTAGTTAAATTCCAAATAGAAAAATAACTCTAAATAGGAAAAAGACTCCAGATAAACTTCTTTAATTGACGTGGACTTAATAACTTAAAGTCCAATCCAAACTTAATAAGGACTAATTAACTAGTCCAAATCAAATATGACTTTCTAAAAGGACTCTATTTAATTATAGATTCTTAATAAAGATGAACTCTTGATTAAATATGGATCCAATCCAACTAAGGATCAAAATAAGATCTTAATACAAATAGAAATTCTTATGTAAAAATGATAACTAAAGCAAGTAAATTAAAAATAAACTAATTATTTATGTCCCTCCAAATAATTTAGCTTTGAAGATTTCAATCTCGACTCCATATGGATGCTCCAGCATTATACTTCCCAAGTTGGAGAAAATTTGACCTTGAGTTTTAAGTTTTCTTTTGTCTTGGTCTCTTGGAAACTCAATCTCCTTGGTCGAGCCCTAACAATTCAGTTCATATTTTATTAAACTCACGCTGGATGCAATAAGCTACCATCACATTGAATCCTAGCTGAACCTTTTTCCTCATCAACTTATTGTTTCTATTTCCTTCCTCTAAAAATAGTACATATATAGAACTCGCTTTTCGTGCTCACTAATGGTTGTGAAAAGGAATTCCATGCTTGCGGACAATGCAAGTAACTCGCTAATGAGCGACAAGAAAGTGATGCATTGTCTTAAGATATCGACATGTTTAAGATTTATTTGGATATTGTCGAAGAGAGAATAAACGGATAGTATACGGCATTGGAACATATACGTCTCGGTGTTACTCACATTTTAGAGTTTGCTTCTCTCACTATAACAAAAAATAGATATAGAGGCGGAATGCTTGAGGCGGTTTTGTAAATCGCCTCAAAGTCTTTTAGTTATTGCACTATGCGTGACTTTTATAAAACAAATTTGAGGCGGTTGACAAAACCGCCCCAAGTTTTAAAGAGAGGCGCGAATTTTATTCATGAAATATTTTTTTTTTAGTTTGGTTCCGAAATGGAAAAAACTCTTTCATCTTCCCTCTCCTTAGGGTTTTCGAGCTTCTCTTTCCGAATTTGCTTGTTCTCCTAGATTTGTTGTTTCCTTCTTCTCTTTGGCTTCTTCGTTTTTAATTTTTTTTTGGTTCGAAAGGGGAAAGATCTTATCGAGAGCTTTCCTTCTTCACTCGAGGTTCTTCTCCTCTCGCTTCTTCCATCTTCCGATCTACTTCTTCTTTCTTTTTTTCTTTTTTCCTTTTTTTTTTTTTTGGTTCCGAAAGGGATACATTCACTACATTATCCTTCTTCTCTTAGGGTTTTTCTTCTCCTCGCTACATTATCCCTCTCCTCTTAGGGTTTTTCTTCTCCTCTATTTATTCAATCCTCTCATTTGCTTCGTGCTTCTTTTTTTTTCTTCTTTATTTTTCTCTTCTACTTCTCGCTTCTTCTTCTCTACTTGTTTGTTCTTCTTCTCTGCTTCATCCTTGTCTCTTTCTTGTTAGAAATGAAATTATAGCTATCATCTAAATCAATTGGGTACTCATTGTTGATTTTTTCATTGATCTCTCTAATGGTAAGTATGCTAAGTTTAATTTTGTGGCCAATCAATTAGATTACCAGCTCTTTTCTTTTCTAATTCCTTTTAAATTTTCAATATAATATGCTACCTGTCTTGTTCTTATTTTGTGACCTAAAGCTAGAGCACCGAGGAAGCAAGAGCAATTGTCTTCAAAAGAATTCCCAAAATGGAGAAGGATTGTTACTTTGAGTCCTAAAAGCATCTCTATATCCCAAGGCAATCCTAAGGTAATGTGACTTTCCTATTAAGAAACTTGCTTGAAAGAAAAAGTTTTCAATTCTTATTTTAATTGTTGTGTCATGCTTAAGTACTTCGGTTCTACCCTAGATGTTTTGCCTCGAAGATTAGGGGATTATGAATAAAACCAAATGGACCGAGTTTAGGGATATGAATTTTCTTTCAAAAATAAGTGGATTGTCCTAAGAACCCTCTACAGTTGCTATACTCTAGCTCCGAATAAGCACACTAACGAATCATCATAAGGACGAAACCTATAGTTTTGATGTTTTCTATTTGGATTTGCCAAAAGACGGATGTCGGTTCAATATAAGAAATTTGGTCGGCTTTGATTTATGAAGTTTTTTGCATTTTGAGATCTTTTTGCATTTGGATGTGGTTGAAATTGATTTTGCTTGTTAACTAATTTCCTACAAAAATAAGGATTGTGATGTGATATGTATTTGGTTTTTGTTAAAGATAGTGGGAAACTTCAAGGATCGTGATTGTTGAATCCATTAAGTTTCACAAACATTGATTTCTATTTCCTCTGCTATATATTTTCGGTCATCATCTAAACCATTAAGTATCAACTTCTGCTAATATCAATTTTTATGAGGAGGAAAACAAAGATGAGAGATGTTAATCATTTAATCTTACTCCTTTTCTTGTTACTCCGGGCAAGTAGTCTTGCTTCATCTTTATCTACAACTCCCAAAGCTACCCACCACCAATGCCTTTATCACCGAGAGATCTTCCTTTGTACAACTATAAGAAAACCTTCTTAACTACTCCTTTACTACACATTCTTATTCAAAAGTTGAGTTATGGGACCCGAAAACAGATTGTTGCTCTTGGCACGGGGTTGCATGTAATGGTGATGGTCTTGTGATTGAACTTGACTTGAATCTGTGTATTTCTACGAGCAGCACTTAAACTTGAAAACTCAATCCTTGAAATGGTTTTCCAGAATTTTAGTTTTTTAGTCAAGGTCAATCTAGATTATGTAGACCTTTGAGCATAAAGTAGCAATCGGTGTGAAGCCATCTCTCATTTACTTCCCAACCTTAGAGTCCCGAGACT